CTGTGGACATCCTCGATCGAAATCGTTTCACTCTCACATACTTTCTTTTTCTCTCACTGAGATCTTCTCTTACTTTCCTTTCTCTCTTTCTATTTTTCTTTTCTGATGCCTTATCTTTTGTTCGCTTATTATATGATACGCATCAGCGTGCGGCAACTATCGATCGACCCAACGAAGTCTAGGGAGCGAAACACTACCGCTGATGATTTGCAAAAGAAAAAACCCACACGGATCGCGTTGGTTCTAGTAGCGTGGGACCGAAAGGATAGATTATTAATAGTTATTGCACGTGGACGGAAGACGAGTCCTTCTGGCCTACGATCTGGCTCCAAGCTATATGGAGCTGATACCATCCAGGAAGTACAAATCAAAGTTCTTCCGCTTCATACAGCACCATCCAAAGAAAATTATTTTGTGATCATTATTATTAATTTTATAACATTTCTGTTTTTTTTTTAATTTCAACATTCATTTAGTGTTGAAATAAAAAAAAAGGAACAGAATTGCTAATCGTTCTAATTTTTTCTTAAACAAAATAGTTGCAAAAATTTTTGAATAATTTCCATAATTAAATATTTTCCATAATTGTTTAGTTAAAACTTGTTTAACAAAAATATATTTTTATTAATTAATTAATCCATTATTTCGATTAAATTAGGTTCAAAAATAAAATAATTAACTGATTGATACAATACAGAGTTTCTGTATATTTTGCCGAAAGTATTTCACGTAACGTATTAAAAAAAATCGATAGACTCTAAATTTCATGCATTTAATAATTTATGTATAATATATTATTTTCAAAGATAGAAATTATCTCTTTAAGTAATTAAAACTCAGAAACGATTATTAAAGAACTTTGTTAAAAATTTAAAGCACTATGTATTTCCTGGATGTGTATTATTGTCTACAAGGATTCCTCCGTTTGAAATAGAGAGTGCAAGGACTGTAACTCATATTGTCCGTAAATAAAAAAAAGTTCAAATTTGTAAAACATTACACAATACAGAACAACGTATTTTGATGCATTTTATAACACAGCTAATTTATAAATTTCTCAAAAAATTCCTGCAAAAACGTAGAATATACAAGATAGTTTCATAAACTTCAAATAACTAACACGATTTTTATATACTGAAAAACATAAAATTTATCGAAGCATGGAATGGTAATTGTTCACTTTAGAGGAAATTTTTCCAATGACCTCGACATGTTGTCAAGGTCAATGTCATTGAAAGTGCCTCTTCTAAAGTAAATATTTACTCAAGGAATTTCACAAATATAATTTAAAAATCTTGAAAATGTTAACTTATTTAGATTTTAAAAACATATGAAAACGTGTTATTCTGTACGATACAAATTTTGTTCTTTTTTTATGTACTTTTTGAGACTGAAAACCATTTGGAAATATTAAGGCTCATTCTAACGTGATTCTCATACAGATATTATAAGTTACAGTCATATTTCTACGCAGGGATTAGCCTAGCACTCTCATGTAATCCGGGAAATTTCGAGGAACGGAAGTTTCATCTTCTCAGAAGATAAAGTTCCGCCATTTGACTGAATCGAGACTTCGTCACGATTTTTTCAGGATCGATCGCGAGCACCGCCCGCTGAGAAGCGCGCGATCGCTCACGCGCCCAACAAGAAAAGGAAAACTAAATCTATCGCTTCGCTCGCGTTCAGCCGTCGCGCATACTTAACTGTATACATGAGTAATAGTAGTAGTAGTAATAATAGTAGTAATAGTAGTATAGTTTAGCTTGTCTCATAAATATTGTCTACAGTATGGAAAGTTGAGCGGCCGTGGCGCGCGTATTTGGCGTGGCGTAGGAATACGGGACCTGGTGCCAGATAGAGTCCGAGTACGAATATTTGTATCCATTCAAGTACTTGATATTTGATTATATTATAGATTTTAACGAGCAAAAAAACCTACGTTATTACATACATTCATTGCTAAGCTTTTCCGGTTCTTGTTATCCGGATTCAGATGCTGACTTGAATTAAAGTCAACTTGGTAAATGTTGATAAATTATTTATATTAATGATAATTGGACATAAAAAAGATGAATTGTATAGATCAGTTGATTTAATTTCAATAATCTAATAAATAATTTTCTAAAGAATTAAATTAATCTTTACCAAACTGATTCAGAGTAAAAAAGTTGAAAAGGATAAGTTTTTACTAATTAATAATATAACCAATTCTTTTGCAAAATATCATAAATTAACTATTTGAGATTTAATAAACCTTTTAAAATCAACAAAATTTAATTTTGTACAATCTGCAATTACGATAGATTATATAATATTATATTAAATTTAAAAAAGATCAATAAAGAAGGAAATTATTTTTAAGTTAACATACAATTTAACTGAAATATTACTGTGAAAATGTAAAAGAAAAATGAAAAAATAAAGAGATATTCTATCATTTATGGTCATCTTGAATGTATTGTTAAAAAAAAAACGTTGCAGTACTGTACTCGGTACACGCAGCCGTTCGTCATTTCCGTCGATCCGATATGTGCGCGACCGAAATGTGAGAGAGGAGAAAATAAAGACTCGTGTGTGTGAAATAATACGCGAGGGGCCTTAACGAGGACTTAATTAAAAGGAGTTAATCATACGCTTTACATAATATAAATATATATACTCTTAAATGCATCATATAGGAATCTACGTTTGTGTATCTGGCAGTCTGGCGATCACAATGCTGTAGGAAATACCTCGCGGTAGTGTGTGTAATATATCTATATGTATGTATATAAATATATATGTGTATGTATGTGTAAGTGCATGTACGAATGCGTGTATACGCATATTCGCACCCACGCGTGAGTTGCGTGTAGACGTATTGTGTGAATACGTATACGGAGATACTTCTCTGTCTGTCTCTCTATCTCTCCTTACTAGCGTGCGGGGTATGTTCTGAGTATGTAGGAAGCATAACGAAATGCGGGAGACAATCCGCGCGAATCCGTGCCTAATACTGTGTTTGCTTCGTTGCGAGGAATACAGTGTAAATGGCTGTCTTGCTTGAGCAAGACTGTGGAAACTTCTTCATCGCTTTCAGGCCGTCAGTTTAACGCGGCGTTCGTCTCTGTACAATTTTTAAAATATCTCCTAAATCTAAAATTAGTAGTACGAGCGACTAATGTTATATTAATAATATGAATAATTAACTTAATTAAATAATAATATATAATATTTTAGAACTTTATATAATGAGATATAATTTTGTTCCGAAAATATTCTTCGAAATATAACAAAATGATTAGAGTCAGGGAAATTATAAATGAAAATAAATTATTAACATTTTCATGAAAATTTTCTAAAATAACTTACGAAATATATATTCTTCCGCAATAAATAATTTATATATA